TAATACGGATTATATAAAATTCATCTCCCCTAAAGAAGTCCATACTATCATTAAACATATCAATACCCAGAAAGCTCACGGGTTTGACGGGATCAGCAATCGGGCTCTGAAGGCCCTCCCTCCAAGTTGTATAGTGCTACTTACAAACATCTTTAATGCTTGCATCAGGACGAGTTATTACCCTTCGCAGTGGAAACACTCGATTATTATCACTATACTGAAGCCGGGGAAAAACCCCTCACTTGCAGACAGTTATCGTCCTATTAGCCTTCTTCCGGCTATCGGAAAAATATTTGAGAAAGCTTTAAACAACAGAATTACAGACCACCTAGAAAGATGGGATCTGATAGACCCGGCCCAATTTGGTTTCCGGAAACACCACAGTACAACCCATTAAGTATTAAATATCGTTGAGATTATCACGAGAGCTTTTTTCCACAAGACTGGTGTGGCAGCATGCTTCATAGACCTTGAGAAGGCCTTCGACAAGGTCTGGCACGAAGGACTGATTTACAAGCTAAATAACTTTCTTTTTCCTGTCAGCCTTGTGAAGTTAATCATCTCATACCTAAAAAGAAGAACCTTCCAGGTGAGAGTTGGAGACTCCATTTCCGGAAGGAAAATCATTGCCAGCGGCGTCCCGCAAGGGTCTGTTATTGGCCCAAAATTATTCAAAATTTTCGTTAATGATTTACCCAACACACTGAATGCTAAAACCCTGAAATATGCAGACGACACGGTGATTTTATCGGAATCTAAAAGCCCCCAACTTGCTCTTACTAACCTACAGTTTCACATCAACATAGTAGCTGCTTGGTGTCAACTTTGGAGAATTAAAATTAATACCGCAAAACGTAAAATTGTCCAATTCCGTCGCTACAGAAGAAATGTCACTACGAACACGGGTATCAACATAGAGAATGATGTGATTCCAGTTTGCTCGTCCGCAAAGTACTTTGGAATTACCCTAGACGATAGGCTCACCTTCAAAGACTACGTAACCAACCAAGTAAATAAAGCAAACGGAGTTTTCATGTCGCTTTATACTGTTATAGGTAGGAAATCGAAATTGAGCTTAAAAGCTAAACGCATGATCTATCTCACTATGATTAGGCCAGTTAAGCTCTACGCCGCCCCAGCGTGGGCAATTGCCAATAAGACGGATAGGAGAAAACTAGAAGTCATCACTAACGCGCCCTGGTTTGTACGAAATAGCGTCATTCATACAGACTTGAAAATAAAGCTCATTCCTGAACAAATCCTCATGGAGGCGCACAACTTCTTCGAGAAAATGGATAATTCTCCAGCGCACACGCTAAGAGAACTCGGTAATTATGACCCTACGATGGACAGCGTGGTGAAGAGACTTCGGTCAATTCACCATAATGCACGGTGGTGTTGTAAGTATGTAAATAGTGTACATATGAAGTTGTGTTTTGTGCTCTATCTAACCTTATTTATTTAACTTTATTATTTAACCAAGTACTGTGTTACTGCCAAAATTGGCTACTTGCCTGGAAGCAGGCTAGACACTCTGAATTAATTAATCTGTGTTAAGGACTGTGTATTCTGTGATCTCACCACGCCCACTGCTGTGGTTCTACTCCTGATTACCTGCTGGACTGCGCACCCTATCTCAGTAACCTTACGCTACTATCCTGAGCGAATGCATCATGCATGGACTTGAATGCTGGATGATTTTGTTTTCCAAGTACTAATTTCCCAATTTTCGTATATTCAGATTGACTTCGCCACGGAATGATTGCACCTTGTTCTAATGTCACGCCCCCGGGCGAGGTGCAGTAGCACCTTAATATACTAAAAACCGTGAATGGCCTTCATAGGCTGCACAGATTAGTAGGCAGTAGACTCTGCTAAATATCACTAACAGTAGTAGAAACTCAAAGTAGTTGTATACCTGAGGTGAATCAGAAATAAATAAATAAATAAGTTCGTTGTAGTTACTTAGTTTGTTGTTTTCAGAGTTTGTTTAGAAAACTGCTCTTGTAGCGAATTCGCGGATTAGCTTTCTCTAGTTGTTTTGAGTTAAGTTCTCTTGAACGTTTGAGTAGTTAAAAGATAACTGCTGTGAGATATTGTAATACTGCACGAATATTTTAGGAAATTTAAGCATATTTGTTGTGATAATAATAAATTTGTTCATTTTTCATCGGACTTGTGCTTTCATTTCGTAACGAACCCGTACGCACGCAACAATATGATTTTGAACCTTTCTATTTTTTTATTAAGTGCTTGGAAACAAGTTTAATTTTGAAGTTTAATTTTCATACGTGGCAATATCTTCCTTTCGTTCTGTTCGCATTTATATTACATTATACCTATTTTTTGAAAAACCTGATTTTTTTTCCAACTTTTATGTTACGAAAAAATGTTAACCTAAAATCTTATTATAGTAATTTTATGAAACTTTCCACAAATATCATGTGAAATATTGTGAATTAAATGAACTAAAGTTTAGGTTTTGCACATATCTAAAATGTTTTCGGACAATCTTGTAAATACTCGTACACAGAGAGAAATTTCTGGAAAAATAGCTAATTCTGGAAATAATAATTCTGGAATAATAATTCTGGAATAATAATTTCTGGAAAAATATTCAAACAGGTATCTTTACTATACATTTTACTTTATCACATAGATTTTAGTCCATTTAAATCCTTAACAAATATAAGTGACAAAAGCAAAAGCAAACTATTCATAAATATTTTGTGATCATATCTAATAATCCTGAAATTTAATAATTTTTTATCATTTAAAGAAACACTCTGCTAAATATCACTAACAGTAGATTTATTTGTACTGTGTTCCAAAATTTAGTCGAGCCAGAGAGGTCGGATACCTTAAGTGGGGTAGAATGTAAGGAATTATTGCATTCCTCTGTTCATGGTTTCGTGGTGTAAGTGGTTGGCATAATATAGCTGGCAAATAGAAGATCCAAAATTTTGGAGAATATACTTGGACTCTCACTTCTCTTCTTTCGGAGAAACATAAAATTCTCTATATGCTATGAACTAAAGGTATTAGAAATGCTCTTTGTACTTCGCAAATTCTTACAGTACTGAATGAATTTACTGGCTACATGTTTAAAGCAGTGAAGCGTGAGTAATTTCCTTTAAAAGCTTTTATTACGCTTCTGATATGACTAGGCTGCCTGTTTAATTGAAGTTCTTGATTCTGGTTTTCGAATAAGCATCAGATTACGTAAAAAAGCAGCCTTAATCTAATATATACTATTAGTTTAACAGAACAATTCGAATCTATTATTATAAATTAATATTATGTTATTATCAGATGCATTGAAGAAGTTGCAAATGTAAATGCTTCGAAGCTAATATGAATATTAACGAGCTTTCTGGTTTTAGGTGTAAGGATTATTTGAATGTTTTAACCTGTTATTTTATGTTAATTCCCATTCCTATCAAGCCTCGTTTCATTTCCCTGACAGAATGCAAATTTCCAGCCCGTGCGATATTCAAATTAGGTATAAAGAAAAAAGTACGTAAAGGGAGGTTTTGGAGGGTGAAATCAGAGCGTATTCTGCCTACTTGGAGGCTACGTTGTTAACATTGATCCTATAGCGAACCGAATTCTGAAGCGTTGAGTTATTAGAACATAGTTGTTCTGAGGTTAGTTGAGTTATAGAATTCTGAAGCGTTGAGTAGGTTTCTTACGCCGACTTCGGACACACTCCATTAAATTTCATTACCTTTAGTTTATCCAGTATCTTTAAATTAAAGCCAAAAGTTCTGGCTTCTGTAAGCACGAGTTGGTGCCATCTGTTAAACTTTATCAGGATTAATAAAAGTCTCTGTGGTGATTACAAGACGGTTACAGCCGAAAACATCGCAGCAAAAACATCGTGGACGAAAACGTCGCGGAGAAAACAACGCAAGGCGAAAACGTCATGCTACAAAACATCGTGGGAGAAAACATCGCAAAGAGAAAACATCGCAGTTCTAAAACATCGTGGTACAAAACACCGTCGTCGAAAATAAAGCGGTTCAAAAACTTCGCAGTTTAAAAACATCGTCGTCGAAATTATCGTGGTAAAAAATAAAGTATCTAAAAATCATTGCATGACGATAACATCGCAGACATGCTTTTTTCAGGCATGCTTTAATAAGTGTAAATGGATATTCCCATAATGATTTGTGAACGCAAGATGGAAAGAAGGATAATTTTTACTTTCATATTTTTTATTAATTAATAAATTTTTGCTGAGAAAATAAAAAGGAAACTTAAGCATAGAAAATTAATGCTACTTATAGCACTTAATAGAATTTTAAACCGACATAGTTAACTAACAAAGGTCATTAATAAATCATTTTTATAAAGTTTTTACTGGTAATATTTCATGAAAAGTATAATCTATAAGTTACATTTAATTTTCTATGCTTAAGTTTCCTTCTTACGTTTTCAGCAAAAATTTATCAGTTAATAAAAAATGTGAAAGTAAAATTTATCCTTCTTTACACCTTGCGCTCACAAATCATTATGGGAATATCCATTTACAATTATTAAAACCTAAAAAAAGCATGTCTGCGATGTTATCGTCATGCGATGATTTGTAGATACTTTATTTTTTACCACGATATTTGCGACGACGATGTTTTTAAACTGCGATGTTTTTGAACCGCTTTATTTTCTACGACGATGTTTTGTGCCACGATGTTTTAGAACTGCGATGTTTTCTGTTTGCGATGTTTTCTCCCACGATGTTATGTAGCACGACGTTTTCGCCTTGCGTTGTTTTCTCCGCGACGTTTTCGTCCACGATGTTTTTGCGCGATGTTATCGGCGGACACCTTACAAGACGCAGCGATAATCCGCATATCGACTTTTAGAGTTTTGGATCTACTTTATGATACCATAGAACACCAAACTTAATATAGTAATTACAGAAAAGGAAAGCATTCCTTCCACGATTATTCACCATTTTAAATTACTACAAGCAAGATGGATACTGAAATATGACTGACCTCAGGCGTTGCCAAATTTGGTCACGAGTAATTCTCCCCATTTTATGAAGGATTTCTCGGGCAGCTCTTTCTCCAGCTTCAATGGCTCCTTCCATGTAACCAGACCATGTTATAGCAGTCTCAGTGCCTGCAAAATGCAGTCGACCTATAGGTGTCCTCAAGACTCTGTGAGATTGGAAAGAAGAAATCAACGACCACTGTAAACTGGATGCTTTTGCATGAGAGATTCATTTTGCACTGGCACAGTATTGATCGAGTTATATAAATCTCTCAATTAAAATGCTCTACTTCGTTTTTTTTTTCAAATGAGCATAAATGAAGAAAGGACACTGTTAATGGGCTCCAAGAAACTGCAAATATTGTTTTTACCTTTTGGACACCAAAGTATCGGACAAGCTTTAATATATTAAGAAACTTCTTTTTTACTTTTTGAACTGATTTCTTCCCAAATAAATCAGCAAAACCTGCTGTAACATAAAATTACGTGCCGTTAAAAACCATTTTATCTTCACATTTTCATTCTTTTTACTATTATAGGTAAAACAAAATTTTTAATAAATTTACCTGGCTTAGAGTATTTTTATAATACCAGAACAATAAATAGATTTGAAAAGCTCTTGCTGCTTTTAACATAATTGACTTTGGTGTTGATAAAAAAATTTATGAATTTACCATACGCTTTCACGGCGCTTATCATGAAGCCACCAACATTTTGATTGTAGAGACAACATTGTGACTACATTTCTGTAGGAAATCTCCTCAAATATATTGTTACGAATTTGCTATTTAAAAAGCTAATGTTAGTTCAATTATAAATTAAATGGTTTTATTTCTCGCGCAGTGCAGCGCGTGACGAATATTAAAAGAAAGCTAAGCCGGAAAAATTAAAAATACAAGAGCGCGTGCGTTAAATAAATAAATATCTCTTCTTGATTTCGAGAAAGTACTGGAAAATTCTAGCGCGTGATTTTAAAATCTTATAAAAGGAGGAAAATATCTCAGTTTGGAGTAGTTGCTTAGTTTGTTGTTGTTTAGAAAACTGTTTGTTGTTGATTATAGCGAATTCGCGGATTAGCGTTCTTTAGCTGTTTTGAATTACGTTCTATTGGATATTTGAGTAGTTAAAAGATAACTATTGTGAGATATTGTAATATTGCATGATAATTTGAGAAAATTTAAGCATTTTTGTTGTGATAATAATAAATTTTTGTTCATTTTTCATCGGACTTGTGCATTCATTTCATAACGAACCCGTACGCACGCAACAATTTTTGGTGTCAGAAGTGGGATTTGAATGCCAATAACAAGAGGGATGGAAGAACAATTGAGACAGCTCATTACTGCTTTTGCTGCTTTCCAAGAAAAGATGGAAGCTGGCCAAACATCTTTTAAAGAAGAAATTAAAGAGAAAATGGATGCTGGTCAAAGGTCCGTTAAAGAAGAAATGAAATTGGGCCAGGAATCCCTCAAAGGAGAAATGAAATTGGGCCAGGAATCCGTTAAGGAAGAGATGAAATCTCTTAAAAATGAGATGAAAGCAGGTCAGGACGAAATGAAAAGAGAAATTACCTGCGTAATAGAAAATAAATTTGAGGCTATGGAAGGCAGAATAGACGCGGTGAAACTAAAGTTGGACATATAGAAGAGAGAGTTTCTGCCGTCGAACAACAAATTGATGATAGGGTTTCTGCTGCCGTCGCCAAAGAAGTTGACAGCCTAAAGAAGTGCATAGCGACGGTAGGAAACAATTCTGAAGGTTTCAAATTTTTATCGATGCCTGCTCGTTCCGTTCTGAAATTATCTACATATGATGGGAAGACCTCCTGGCAGGTGTATAGGACACAATTTTCTATCGTGGCGGATCCGAATGGATGGGATTCCCAAGCTAAGGCCTGTCATCTCGCCGCTTCTTTAAGAGCCGACGCAGCGATATCCTTCAGACTCTTCCCGAAAACAAAAGGTTAGATTTCGAAGCTCTGTCCGGCGCCTTGGAGCTGCGCTTCGGGGAGAAATGTTTAAAAGACTACAGCAGGCTCCAATTAAAATCCCGTCAACAGAAGCTCACCGAAACACTTCAGGAACTAGCCACGGATGTTGAAAGGCTGTCACATCACGCCTTTTCGGAGTGCCCGACAGAAACAAGGGAAATTCTGTCCCTGCAATATTTCATCGATGGCATCCGGGACCCTGAAATACAGAAAGCACTGCGAATGGCGGATGTTAAAGATCTGAAAAGCGCTCTGTTGTACGCCATGAAGTTCGAGGCAGCCCAGCAAGCAACTAGTAGAGATCGCTACCCAGTTAGAGCTGTGCGAGTCCATGAGCCAGTGGATCAACTGATGGCTCGTTTAGATGATTTAGCCAGACAAGTCGACGCTTTGATACGGAGTAGGAGCGAGAAGAAAGTGGCTCTAAGGTGTTGGAGATGTGGTAGTGAAGGTCACCTAAGACGGAATCGCAGAACACCCCAGGGTACAGAATATAAAGCAGATGATTTTACCAGACAAGTCAGTGGCTTGAGACGGAACAGAAGTGAAAAGAAACTAATTCTAAAGTGCTGGAACTGCGGAGTTGAAGGCCACATATGAAGAAACTGCAGAACACCCCCGAGGTACGGAAAATAAGACCATTTCCCAGCAACAACGCAGTAAACAAATTAGTGACCATATCGAGGAACGGAAGTTGCCAGATAGTGAAAAACCTTGTTTTAAAGCGCTTAAAATTTTTACAGTGAGTGGCAACAGTAACGGACTGTCCATTAATGGGAATATCGATGGAGTTCCTTGCAATATGATCATTGACACAGGAGCTAATGTTACCATCATTAGGAATGATTTACCTGAACAATTTAAAGATAAACTTATTTGGACGCCATCCTGTGTTACCCTTCAGACTGCGTCTGGTAATAAGATCGACATAACTGGGAAGTTAAACGTAAGCATCACGTTTGGAAATGCCGCCTACCATCACACGGCTTATGTGGCGGATATCACAGATCCATGCACACTCGGATTGGACTTTTTAAGGAAATACAATTTTTTCTTAGACTTGAAAAACAACAAACTGCTTTCAGTATCTGATTGCATGACTATCCATCCTCAAAAGGGATCCTCATCTGGAAATGCCGACGCCTTGTCCGAAAGACCCAGCTCAGGAAGCTGCCGAAATCTTGCTAGGGCCAAAAAGAAACGCAAGACTACCAGCTATTCTCCATCCCAGATGCTCTTCGGTCGAGACCTTCGTCTGCCTTGTGACCGCCTGTTTGATCGCCGCACGGATGCTCCTTCATCGCCTGAGGAACACATCCAAGATGTCCAGGCCCGTTTTGAAGTGATGCACCGTTCCGCACGAAAGCGAGTGAACTTTGCGACGGAGAAGGTGAAGACCACATACGACACGAGAGCTACTGGACATAAATTCAAACAAGGAGACAAGGTGTGGTTGAGGAACCCGATTCAACGAAGAGAACTCAGTTCTAAATTACAGTCACCTTCGGATGGTCCATATACAGTCCTGAAGAGACTGAATGACGTCATGATCCGTAAGTGTTCGAACTCTAAACCTAAAGTCGTTCATTACGACATGTTAGCTCACTACTATGGCCATAGTACGTAATGTAAATAATTGTAAATAGTATAAGACCATGGTCCTTTTTGTTTTAAATGTGTACTTGATTTGATTTGTATTTAGTATTTGTTTTGAATTTAGTATTTGATAGCATTTGATTTGTTTAAGTTAGTTATTGCATTTATTGTTTATATTGTTTGATATTGTAATGTAATGTTTATGCCTCAGTTGCATTTATGCCACAGTTGTAAGTTTAGCTTCCTGTCCAGGGATTGTACTGCCCCGGGACGTGCAGTCCTTGGGAAGGGGGGCAGTGTTACGAATTTGCTATTTAAAAAGCTAATGTTAGTTCAATTATAAATTAAATGGTTTTATTTCTCGCGCAGTGCAGCGCGTGACGAATATTAAAAGAAAGCTAAGCCGGAAAAATTAAAAAATACAAGAGCGCGTGCGTTAAATAAATAAATATCTCTTTTTGATTTCGAGAAAGTACTGGAAAATTCTAGCGCGTGATTTTAAAATCTTATAAAAGGAGGAAAACCTCTCAGTTTGTAGTAGTTGCTTAGTTTGTTGTTGTTTTAGAGTTTGTTTAAAACTGCTGTTGTTGATTATAGCGAATTCGCGGATTAGCGTTCTTTAGCTGTTTTGAATTACGTTCTATTGGGTATTTGAGTAGTTAAAAGATAACTATTGTGAGATATTGTAATACTGCATGATAATTTGAGAAAATTTAAGAATTTTTGTTGTGATAATAATAAATTTTTGTTCATTTTTCATCGGACTTGTGCATTCATTTCATAACGAACCCGTACGCACGCAACAATATAAAGGAACTTATTATAATGAAAAACCGTCTACGTAGGACAAGGCAACTATGTGGATTTCGGAAATCAAAACGTAGTTAAATAGCGATAACTAAAACACAAACTCAATGATTTCAAAGCGAGCAATGGCAACACTGTACGAAAAAAAATTATCTCCAGCGCGCGAAACTGTGTATCGGAAATTGTAAAGATATGCTCTATAAATATTTTATGATGTTGCTGTTGAACTGAAATTTATGTAGCTTAAGTGCTGAAAACATGATATTTAATACGTAAAGGTAACTCAAAAAACGTTAAAAACCACCCCTTTGGGAATAATATAAAATTTGGAAACATTCAGAAAAATTTTTTTAAAGATAAATAGCGCATAAACTTTTGTGACTTGAGTGTTGTTTTCTTTTTCACGTGCGGTTTATCAGTTTATTGAAATTGTATACTTATAATAAAATAGAAATAATAAACGAGACTCGTGCGACAAAAGTACTCATATATTTGCTTGATCTTTAAAGAATATTCCATAAGCATAGCTAAATTTTATTCAGCATTACAAGTTTTTTAAATGAAGTATAAGAAATTAATTGTTATAAATACTTCAAATGATTAACTTGAATAATTCAGTTATAGTATCTAACAAATCTGACAACTTTTAATGTTAAATTATGTTAATTTTATTCTGTTCTGTAGGGAATTACAGCGTGTGTTCGAAATTGTTAGTAATTTAGTACCACAAGGATATTCATGAATAAACATATTAGTGCTAATTAATTCCTAGTAGCTCAAGGACTAGTGTGAAAAAATATTTCATAAAGTATTTCAGGGATAATAATAACAGTAAGTACTAGTTTTACTGTCTCTAAACTAAGATGACTTTAGAACAGAGCTGTATTTTCTGTGCTATGAATTACAATTCTTTTTTCTATCTGTTGAAATGAAACTTTATGCATGTTTCTGTATATTTCAGTATGTGTGCTCTATATTCTGTATCTGAAAAGCTTTATTTCATATAGATATTTCTTACAATTTACGCTCATGTCCATAAATTAAGGATAATGCAAAATCAGGCAAAGGAAGAGTTAGAAGCAAAACAAATTTGACTTATTTGTAAAGCTTATTTATTAAACAAAAGGTAAAGAGCAAAAAAAAGATGCTATGTGTTAATTATTAAACAAATTAGCATTTTTTTCTCCCTGGAGCAAATTAAAAAAAAATTACATGGTTGGTATGATTGTTAACACATTGTATGTCTCCCAGACGATGCAATACAGTCCGTACAACGCCTAGGCATGCTGAGTATCAAATTATCGATCTGATCTTGGGAGATATTACACCACTCAAAAAGCAATGCTCTCCGAAGTTCAGGTAGACACGTAGGAGGATGTTGACGGGCTGCAACTCGTCGGCCAAGCATGTCCCACACGTGCTCTACTGGATTCAAGTCCGGAGAGAATACTGGCCAGTCCATACGGATGATATCCTCCGCTTGAAGGCATTCGCTTACGATGCTTGCACGGTGAGGACGGCCGTTGTCATCCATAAACACAGATTGTGCGCCCATGGCGCCCCGAAACAAACGTACATGTTGTTCCAGAATGACGTCCCGATAGATTTGGCTTATCATGGTTCCAATCTGAACATGCAGGTGAGTTCTGGAACCCAGAATAATTCCACCCCAAACGAGCACTCCTGCACCACCGTAACGGTGTCGTTCAATGATGTTTTCTTGGTGGTAACGGGTACCTGGAGCTCTCCATATGAAAGTCCGGCGAGAATCAAACTGCAAGCTAAACCTAGACTCGTCGGAAAACATCATACAAGCCCACTGTTGCGGTGTCCACAATGCATGCTCTCTACTCTAGGCTAACCGCAGGCGACAGTGAGTTGCAGTAAGTGGAACGCATCTGACAGGTCTACGAGCATATAGACCAATCTGCCCTAAGCGTCTATACACGGTCTGCCTTGAAATTGTCGTACCAGTGGCTGAAGAGAGCTGACGAGACAGGTCTGAGGCTGTGCTCAGCCTGTTTCTTTTGGCAGTAACTGCCAAATACCGGTCCTCATTCGGCGTTGTAACTCTGGGGCGACCTGTGCTGTAACGTCTACTCACATTACCATCATCTTGGAATCTTTGCCAAAGCCTGGAGATGACACTCTGGGCAATTCCATTTCGTCTGATACTTCCAGTTGGGTACGCCCAGATTCCAGATGGCCGATAATTCTACCACGTAAAAAATCATCCAAATGCGTCCTTTGTGTCATAACTATTCGGTTATTTCACTGAAATGCTTATAAAGCGCCTGCGAACAATTTTACTGCTTTGCCAATATTCTTATACATCACTCTCTTACACTCTCGTCATTGTGACGTACCATCGGTGTTATCTGGTTACTTCCTGAAATTGGCATATGATTCTTGAAGATGTGTGTAGTGATTTTACAGGTGATATATTTATTTTAGAGTTCGATTTCTGCGTGACTCCGAATTATCCTTAATTTATGGACATGAGTGTATATTGCAAGACTATGAAAGCGCACACACTTATAGTTGAATTTGGATTTGAAATAAACAATTTCAATGTTTCTCAAAAATCTCCGATGATATTTAAATCCTGTAAGAAACTGTTCGTCGTTGTATACATAAAAAATAAATAAAAAAAAAAATAAAAATAAAAAGTTTCAGATTTTAAATTACGTCCAAAGAGACTTTTTTTAACATTTTGTATGTTAAATTTATTTATTAAATATCACGTTCGCACTTAAACAATAAAATTCAGTTCAAGAGCAATACCGCAAAATAGTTTTAAAACGAGCATATCTTTAGAATTCCCGCTACAGAGACCCGCAACGCTGGAGATAAAAATGTTTTTTCTGTACAACGTTGCCATGGCTCGCTTTGAAATATTTTAGTTTGTTAATCAAAAATTCGTTAAAGTTTTAGTAAAATAGGAAATCGATCATAAAACAAATTCCAAATTTCAAATTTGGTCTTCCACATGCCAATAATTCGTAGGAGGCTTACGTCATTCAAAATTTGATGGCTCCATCAAATTTTGAATTCACCGTTGTTTTATCACAATGCGAGAAATATACATACAATTATGCAGTTTCTTTATTATTTAATTTCTTTAAATATAACACAGGGCGATAATACTTTGTGGCAACAGTTTGAAAAGTGATTCGCCGTTTGTAGCGAATCCACGCAAAATGGCAAAACGAAAACAATAGTCCTTTAGGAACTAAGCCCCTTTGGACTAAAAAACTGAAAGGTTTCAGATTTTGATGGTCGCCCGAAAGGGTTTATTAATGTTTTTTGCATTGTCGCTGCGTTCGCAGTCTAGCAGTCTAGCAGTCTGCTGTTACTCTCACTCCTACTAACCCATTTTCAGCGCAAACGGCGTTAGCCCAGAAGGGCTATTAATTTCGTCTTGGCATTTTGCGTTGGTTCTGATAAATATCGTTTCACTTTTCAAACTTTTGCCACCAAATATTAAAGCCCTGTATTATATTAAAAAAAATTAAATAATGAGAATAGGCATAAATGTATGTATGTTTCTCGCATTGTAATAAAACAACGGTACCTAGAGCCATCCAATTTTGAATAACGGACGTTTCCACCCAAATATGGGCATCTGGAAGGCCTAATTTGGAATCTGGAATTTGTTTTATTACCTATTTCATATTTGTAAAATTTAAACGAATTTTTGATTAAGGAAATGAACGATTTCAAAGCGAGCAATTGCAAAACTGTACGGGAGGGGGAAAGCATTTTTAACTCCAGCTCGCGAGACTGTGTATCGGGAATTCTAAAGATATGCTCATTTAAAAATTATTTTGCGATAGTGCTGTTGAAGTGAATTTTATAGTTTAAGAACGAAAAACATGCTATTGAATAAATGAAGGTAACACACAAAACACTTCCTTTGGCATAATGTAAAATCTGAAAGTTGGTTGGTTTGGTTGGTTTATTTAATTACGACAAAGCACGCTAGGGCTATCTGTCTGAGGGATGCCTTCGAGGAGGACTTTCTAAGGGCAACTGGCTCGTATACACGTTACACTTGGGGAAAACCACGAAAACGCCCATGCAGCCAGCCCGTTCGCGGGATTGGAACCTCGGACCAAATTACCAGTGTTCAGCGACTTTACTGCTCGGCCGCTGGTGGGCCTAAAATATGAAAGCTTTCAGATTTTTTTTCGTCTTTTTTTAGCTTTATTATTGAGCATCATTTTCCTCGCAGTTACGCCATATACAATTCAACAGCAAAATTACAAAAATTTTAAAAGAAGTATACAGTATAAGTTTAGAATTTCCGATGCAGCATTAAGTTTTGGCATACTTTTTATTTCTATTCTTTTCTCAGTTCATCACATCAATATTTATTTTTTCCTAAGATGGCGTTAAAAACAACTTATTATTATTATTATTATTATTAACGTTTTATATGTTTATTTTATTTAAGTAACCCGTTCTTGGCGCTGATACGGCATATCTTTAGCATTTCCGATAGACAGTCTTACGCGCTGAAGATAAAAATGTTTTATTTCGTACAGTACTGCTATTGCCTACTTTGAAATTGTTGAGTTTGTTAATAAAAAAATCGTTGAACTTTTACAAGATATGAAATAGATAATAAAACAAATTCAAAATTCCGGTTTCCAGGTGCCCGTGTTCGGATGGTGGACTCCGTTATTCAAAATTTGATTGCTTTAGGTACAGCTGTTTTTTCACACATGCATACATTCATGCAGATTCTTCATTATTTAATTTTTTTTAATATAATACACGACGATTATATTTGGTGGCAACAATCTGAAAAGAGATACAACGCATTTAAGCGTTTCACCGAAATGTGCCATTTAGAAACTAATATCTCATTTGGTACAAACGACCCTTTCCGGCAAATAAATTTGGAAAACTATCTCAGAGGAAAGCAATTCATATCACTACATTCGTATTATGAGCACTTTTCTGGCTCTAAGATATCAAACTTCTTTTCACTTACACATTGACGCTTTAGAGAAAGAGTTTTCACAGTAAGCATTAAAATTGTCGCAGAAATTTTCAAATACATATTATATGTTTCGCTATGGATCGTAGATTTTACGACTACTTTATAACTATTTTACGACTATTGGAACCTACCTTCCATATCTGGTAAAGAAGCCGGGAGGGTACATAGCAGTGTAGCAACCACCGGAGTATTGTTCCTCCATCCAGTTCTTTTCTTCATAGTGAATAGGCTGTAAGAGAGAATATTTCAGTTTCACCATAGGAGAAAAATAACGATACTGTTGCGTGCGTACGGGTTCGTTATGAATTGAATGCACAAGTCCGATGAAAAATGAACAAAATTTATAATTATCACAACAAACAAAAAAATCTGATGTGTACACCACATGACTTCCTTGTACGGAATATTAAATTATACGCATTTTTTCTTGCATTTATTTAAACTTATTGGATTGAATTAAATCTACTTCGCCGACACCGCATAAACCACAATAGAATAAATGCATTCTTTAAAATTCACTCTATTTGTTTACCATAGCGATACCCTGGCGCTAGGTTAACTTAACAGTATTATATTTCGTTCATATTATAACTCAAAATGCACAAAATTTATATCATTTAAAGAATTATCGAATCGTTGCTACATGTTCGATGCAAATACTATAATAAAGCTAGAACGATGTATAAAAGAAATTAAGCAAACAAAACAAAAAAGAAACAGTTTTTCACCGACGATTGAGTATTTCTCATTTAATTAATTCAGTTCTCAATTCGCGACAAGGCAAAAATACATAACTCAAAATATCTGTAGTAAAAATTTCGAAGTAAATCTTAAACACTTATTTCCTCGAAAAAGTTCCAGAAACGATTAAGCATAATGATCTAATTCGCAATAATAAATGAAGGCGTTATCTTTGCTGTTGCGAAGCTAAGTTTCTCTAGATTGGCAACAAATCCGCTACTCAGATCTTTCAAATGTAAACAAGATCAATGGCCGCCATAAAATTAGGCTTAGAGGCATTTAAACAATTTTAAAATTGTTGATAATTCTAAAAATATTGCACACAGATTTCCTAAAGGCATAAAACTCTTAACCGGAAGATAAAAACAACATAATTCAATCATTTTTAAAGCAAAAAATTTACAATTTACAAACATATAAGAATAAGAAACTGAGATCACTCAGCCGGGTAACAGAGTGGATATATATATAAATATATTTATGTACGTTTGGTGCGGCCGATTGCAACCAAAATACGAGGTGCACATCTACATGTTATAACAGTCCTATATACAAAATTTCAACGTTCTGAAGCTACTCGTTTTTGAGTTATGCGAGATACGTACGTACATACGTTCGTACACACGCCACGAAAAATTCTCTTCAGAATTCATTTTAAAGCAGTTTTATAATTTTTTTGGAGGAAAAGAGTATTTTATTCTGTCCTTACATACAGATATCACGCAAAAGCATCGTCAAATTGCATTCGATAGCGGTCAAAATGGATATTTTCGTCGAAATATGCTGCCTGAAACTTTTTGCGATTACAATACATCCTTTTTCAAGATACAAGGAAGTAAAAACAAAGTAAAAACGCTTAAATTTCCTCAGATATTCTACAATAGCGGAATATCTCACAGTCGTTATCTTTTAACTACTCAAACGTTCAACAGAACTTAATTCAAAACAGCTAGAGAAAGCTGTTTCGAATTAAGTCCACGAGAGCAGTTTTGTAAACAAACTCTTAAAACTACAACTAACTGAATGCCAATGCGAATTATTGAAAGTTAGGGAGTGCCTATGGTTCAAAACCATGTACCTTCTCATCAGAATTAAATAAAAGCGAGCAGAAATACGAAAATTGCATAAGTATTTTACTTGCTGTACACTAGAGGGAGCCACATGGCTCGAGAAAGTTTAGGGATAGCGAGAATTTATAAAACATAAGAATACATTTTTTTTTTTTTTTTTAATTTTTAGATTTTAAATCATTTTTTGGGTTTTCATCCGCAGAGAACCCGTTGGCGCTTCGGGAAAGAACTCGTTGGCGCCGTTGCATTTTTACTCGCCAAGCTCGCCGTTCATCGACGATGAGCCGAGCCGTAAACATGATTTTTAGTGCATATAAATTCAAATTAGCAGACAAAACAATAAATTAAGCATATGGTAGTAAAAATTCACAGATAATAAGCATGTAAGTGTAAAACTAACCGGTTAAACGTGATATACGAAAATAAATTTGTATTAAATTCAAGTTAGCACAGAAAATAATATATTAAGCATAAGACAATATATAAGGATTTATAACGGAAATAAAAATTCATTTAAAAAATATAAATTAGTAGTAATATACTGAAATTAACCGGTTAAGCGTGATATACGAAAAAAAATTGTCTTAAATTCCAGTTAACACAGAATACTATATATTCCTTACACCAGCAGTGGTTTGCAAATTTTGATGACCATGGTGATGCACCAAACTATTCTGTCATCTTAGATAATCAATAATATTTTTTATTTCAATTTAATCATCTATTTATGTCACACCTGCCATCCTCTGAAAGGTTATTGTTAGAAAATATCTAACATATATCTACGAAAATACCAATTTAGTTGTTAAAAAATTCAGAAAAAATAATAATAAATAAGAGAAGAATAATATAAATCTGCAAATGCGAACAACGACAGTGATAATTCAACAAAATGAACGCATGAAGAATGGTTGCTAACTTCGTACAAGAGAATAGGATAAATGCGATGGGTTACCAGGTTTGAACTATTATCGCCAAAGTTGGCGATGTTTACATTTACCGGGTTCTCTGCGGAAGTGCTTCCCATTTTTTTTTTTTTTTTTTTTTTTTTTGTATTTTTAATTAAAAAAAAAATTTTTTTTGGGTATTTTGTATTTTTTATACACAATACAACACTAAAGCAAATAGCGGAGAGGAAAGATATGACAGTTAAATGGGCTCATTGGCATGTGGCATAAAATGGGAGTGCAAATAAAAGTTATCGAGAGAAAATATTCCAGGCATAATTAGTTTCTGCGGGAGAAACTAACTGAATTGAGAGGTTTTTCCTCCTTTTTTTATGAGCTTTTTAAATCACGCGCGAGATTGTTCTAGCAATTTCTTGAAATCAAAAAGAGATATTTATTTATTAAATGTTAAGTGCACATGCTCTTGTATTTTTAATTTTACGGCTTAGCTTTCTTTTAATATTCGTCACGCTCTGCACTGCACGGGGAATAAAACAATTTTTATTTATAATTCTACTAACATTAACTATTTAAATACCAAATCCGTAACAATACATTTATTTTGCATCATCTCTTTAGCTTGTTTATAGCTTTTTCGAAGTTAATTCGAATAGATGAACATCTCTCTTTTTTTTTAGCGGTGCTTAATTTTTGAAATTTAATTAACAATAACTACATTCTGGAGAACCACATTTAAGGAACAGGCATTGAAAAGACTATTTACATTCCAAATGGGGGGAGGGAATTACACAATATATTACTTTTTGAAATTCAAACCAAACGCGTCTTACTTAACTCTATTTGAATGTATATAACGGCCTTTCAGATAAAAAGGTATCGAACTTCTCAGTAGTCTAATTTAGTGATAGATAGTGTTTCGAATCACTAAATTTCTAATCGCAGCTCGAGGTTTAAGAACTACCGTAATTTCCGGAAGAAACGCCGCGGCGTTTACGTGTTTAAAACTTACATTTTCAACGCGTGCGGCGTTTCTACCCATGCGGCGTTTAGGTGCACTAAAAATAAAATATTTCCTATGATGGACATTGTACATTGTTTGGATGGCCTTGTCATTGTGCATAGACTAGTGCTGTTCCCACACAAAAGACCACTCAGTTGCTTTTTGCGAACGTTATTTTGTTTACATTCTTTCCCTTGAACGGACCTACATGCCTTATTCACCCTAAACGAGATCTCAGAACAATAAACATTCTTCCCCCTTTCAAATCAACATTCTCATCAGTTTGAATAGTCTCTCTCCTCTGCCATTCGATGAATCTTCCAGGACCCATCCTCTCCCCACCCCTGCCTTTTCTGCAATTTTTTTCAAAGGCGGACACGACTCCACCTGCCTCGCAATATTCGTATTTCCCCTTCAGCATGAATGGATTTTTCTTGGCATTCTGCCAAATACAGATCCCATCAGTTTGGGTACAAGTACTTGTTGAATAGTTTTTAATTAGGGAGCGGAAAATTTTTTGAAAATGTCTCTAAACGGCACAGAAGCTATATATTTCTTACCTTTAACTTATTTTTGAGTTATGGTTTCATTTCATGCATTTTTCTTAACTGGTATGTCATATATCAGGACTTAGGTTGAGTTTTTGCATCTATACGGCCCACGACGATGTCACGCGCAATTTAATCTATTGCGGCGTTTACGCTGATGCGGCGTTTCTGTGTAATTTTAAATTTTTTCCCGCCATTTTTCTCGAGTGCGGCGTTTACGCTGATGCGGCCTTTCTTCCGGAAATTACGGTGTTTTATTCTAACCAATTATTTTTAGTTTTACTTTCCTTTCCTTTCTGATTCCAGCTTCCTGCTGGAATGTAAATTTGTAATGACGTAGATGCTAATCTAAGCGTGTTTCAGCAGTATTTAAGCTGCATTTCAAGAGTTCCTGAGAAGTAGTAGCGGAGTTAATTCTGAGTTTATGCTGCGTGTTTTAAATTAGCTCTTTAGTCGTTGTTTATTAGACGGCTTTAAGTTTATACTGATATTTCTCGGCTCGACATTGCTGCGTGCAGCCGGTTTAGCGTTTAGTTAAGCTAAGGAGCCAGTCACTAGCCCTCTTAATTTATTAATGAATTGTTACATTCTTATTTTCTGTTAAAGTTAAGTTAGCCACAAGCGGTGGTGTATTGTGAGCACCGAGTGCGCCCATCTATTTATTTTAGTTCAAACTAAAAGGTTATTTAAACCTTCTACTGCAGTTTTTATTCTTGAAAGACATAGCGAACATTCGCTACTTCGTCTTCTACGTAGAGTCCACGTTGTATGCTACCAAAAAGAACACGGAGCGTCTATAAGGGTCCAAAAATAAATAAGCATTTAAATTAGCATGGTTTCAAAATTATAAATGCAAAGGATGGGTTTTCAATTGAAAAATATAGCGAATATTTTTAAACTCTTGACATCATGATTCTTCTCAGTTCGAAACATTTCATTTGAATAACGTCACAGGGTCACAAGCGAAAACATCGCGGTAAAAGCACCTCGGATGAAAACGTCATAGGAAAAACAAAACAAGAAGAAAACATCATCGTACAAAACATCGTGGGGGAAAACAAACAAGAAGAAAAGATCGCAGTTCTAAAACATCGTAGTACGAAACATGGTCGTAGAAAATACAGTAGTTCATAAACTTCGCAGTTTAAAAACATCGTCGTCGAAAATACAGTCGTAAAAACTAAAGCACCTAGAAATGATCGTATGACGATAACATCGCATATATAATTTTTTTCTTTAAATTTGTAAATGCATATTTGAATAATAATCTGTGAGTGCAAAAAGCAATAACGAATATTTAAAATTTAAAATTTTTGAATAAAATAGTAAATTTTTGCTGAAAAAGTAAGACGGAAACTAAAGTAAACAGAAAGCAAACAGAAAATGAGTGGAAAATAATGCTACTTGCAGTAATGAACGGAATTTTGTAACCTCTTGCAATTACTCACTTTTTCCCCCTAATCGTTTTCTTAGACTATATTTTAAGCTATCAATAGCACTATAAAAAGATTAATAATTTAATCACCTTTATTAACTGCTATACGTAGCATCATTTTTCTACTCATTTTCAGTTTTTAAAGGCTAAATTTCCTTCTTATTTTTCAGCTAACATTTTTAATTAAAAAATATGAAATATAAAATTAAACAATTTTCCTTATTCTGATGCTATGATATGTAATTGCTTTATCTTTTACCACGATATTATCGATGACGGTGTTTTTAAATTGCAACGTTTTTGAACAGCTTTATTTTCGATGATGATGATTTATACACCATGTTTTAGAATCGCGATGTTTTCTCCTTGCTTTCTTATCTCTCACGATGTTTTGTACGATGACGTTTTTACATTGCTTTGTTTTTTCCGTGCCGTTTTCGTCCACGATGTATTTACCACGATTTTCAGTGTACCACCCTCACATGAATAATTTTAAGGTATTTCTCCCTTCTTTCTGCATGCCTTTGTGGTGTAACGATAGCACACTCGGGGCATATTCGAGAAGTCCAGGTTCGATGTCCGAGGAGGACATTGCTCATTTTTCACATCAAATGCTTCAAAATAACCTTCTACAGTGGTGCCCGAACTAAAAAACGGTGGTGGATGATGATTCTTTACCACCAGGATTTGGAGATTGGCTCCCTTAATCTACAGTTGCCCTTTAAATGGGAGAGTATGTAAGCTATTTTCCCCTTCCTTTCTGCATGCCTTTGTGGTGTAACGGTAGTACATTCGGCGCATATTCGAAAGATCCAGGTTCGAGTCCCATCAAGTGCATTGCTCCTTTTTCGCATATCCTGATCAAAATAACCTAATAACTCTACAACTTCATTTCCTTAGAAACTCACTGAATAATTGTTTTCAGGTTTACATCCATGCTATTGCATACCTTCAGAAATTCTTGACATCCAGTGGCCTCTGCTAAACTCCTTGCAACTTTTTTTTCCGTTCTTCAGGGCTCAAACTTCCCATACGGCGACATTTATCAGCTTGTATCAACCTGAAAAAAAAAATCAAGGATAAGCTCTATCCTATAGGAGCTTAGGTTAAATTTATAAACCAAGAAAAGGTTTTATAAATTTGTAATCATCATATCATTGTCACGAAAGCATAAGGAATATTTGCATAGATTTGTAAAACTATGGAATATCATACCCTACAATGGCAGGATAGCTACCATCTGGTTTCGTGTCATCTAAAGTCAAGGACACAGGATGCTCATCTCCTCCTTCAATCAACAGTGAGCCGCAAAGCCCTGCAAAGTAATTGTATTTTAGTACATAGTTAAATTGAAATAGCAGGTTATGATCGTAAAATTGAAATTATCTCTTGCTTTTCCATTAATCATTACTGTCTTGATTAAAAAAATCTCGCTTTTCGAGTGTAAAAATCTGATTTGAATGCAGGAATACTTCTAATATTTCGAGATGATTTTATTAGATACTTTGTTCGTTATTCTGGCATGCAGCGGGAGATGCTCTACTCCTGCTCTTTCCAGATTCCTGAATGAGTCCCCTTAGGGTCCTGACATAATGTAAAAGTCCAAAAATGAAGCTTCTTCAGTTGAGATAGCCTCGTAAAAGAAAACGAGAAGTGAAGCTGTGAGCTTCGGCAATCAGCAAGCCATGCCTGGGACAGCTGCAGAAGGAGAGGGAGGTTTATTAGATCTGGATCATAAGTTTCAAATCTGGTGACTACTACATCGAGTATAAGCCAGTAATTAAATTATCCCTTGGGCACTCACTTTAACTTTTTAATAATTAAAAGGTGTATTTGCATAGCGTCCTGGTGACGAAAAATTCATAACAGGTGGCAAGTCAAGAGAGCAGTAGTATGAAAGTCGTTAATATAAGTAATCAAGTTGATAAATTAAACTTTAGATGCAATTTCTGCGCAGTTATATTTTTGAGTAGGTGCATGGCATATCTTACAAAGTTCTGTGCTAGCTACGTGAGAGTTCCTCGCTGACTGAGTCCAGTCCAGTCTGGTATTGCCAAGATGTTACCGGCTCAATGTTTGCCCTGTGGGCACCTGACTTTTAAATACATAGGCCGATCCGATAGGAGGTCTGAGAGGGGAGTAGAGGGAGTGACCAATACGTCACACAGGTCGAAGATGGAGCAAAACCTAACAGGAAAGCGATCATGGCGTGGCCTAGGAGCAGTGCGCGTAGAAGCGCAAGAGTCCGATAAGTACCGTGTCCGAGTCCTGATAGAATCCTAATAAGTGAGGCAAGATAAATTATCAAAGTACAAATAATAGCATATTACAAAATAATGGTACATAAAATGAATGATACATAAAAAGAATTTTTGAGATACATAGTAATGAGGATAATACCTATTTACAATTATATACACTATGCACACAGAGATACGCATGCTACGTAGGGAAATTTGAGTCGCGGGTGATGTGAGCAGCTAAGGGCCTCAAGTCGCTATCTTCCTCCAGAATTATGTAGTCGAAGATTTTTAAACTTTTCATATGCGGGCAGGAAAGCGCCTTGGTAAAGAACTTTTGGTTTAGCTTATGCAGAAAGTTTAGTATGGGCTCTATCTTGAGGTCATTATGCAGCGTCTTGTTAGAAACCAGAAAATGTGCATTCGTCCTGGTGCGTAAGAGCTTGTTTTGCGTGATCTGGAGTTTTCGAAGTCCTTGTTTCTGATGGAAGGCGAGGCGCAGGAGAAAATTGGACGAATTATAGCAGTGGATAAGTGTCTTTTTTTTTTCTAACTTTGAGTCTTAGTTTAGAAGAGCAGTGAGGCTCTGGATAGCACCAATCGTCTTACATCTAACATAGTTCAAGTGATCTTACCAATTAGAGTTGTACATTATTCGAAGATATCTGGCTTTGTTTACAATCGGAACCTCAGTATTGAAGAGCGTGAGCTGTGACGTGATCTGAGCTTGAGAGTGCTGTTTCCTAATGATTAAGAGCTGCGATTTGCCTGCGTTGATGCAAATACGCCATTTGCGGTACCAGAATTCAAGCTGTGGCATATTTTGAAGATTCTTGATTGCAAGACTGGGGCAGGCGGACATTGCAGCAAGAGCGGTGTCATCCGCATAACATCTGAGTCAGTAGTTGTAGTCTAGGTTAGCCTTGGGTAGGTTAGCAAAGTAGAATAAGTATAGGATGGGTCCAAAGATGCTCCTGGAGGACACCGGCTCTAATTCTCTTGATTTCTGAGTCGTCTTTACCAAACGAAATATAAAATTTCTTCCCGGTCAAGAAGGAATGTATAAGCTTGACAAGGGCAGGCGAAAAATCAGCGCTTATGAAGATAAGCCTCTCATGCCAGACGCGGTCGAAGGCTTCGCCAGCATAAGTAAGGCGACATTCTGACGAATGTGAAATGAACTTCCTATGTATTCCGAAAGTCTTAAGAACTGCTTGGTCGTTGACAGTGAGTGACGAAAACCAAACTATTTAACTGGTAGTTTGTCCAAGTATGGATTCATACGTTTGAGGACGTCTCTTTCGTAAATTTTGCCTAGTCCCGGCAGGAGACTGATAGGCCTGAAACCCTCAGGTTTAGTTATGTCTTTGCCCGGTTTGGGCGGAAGAATCCTCTTAGCACCTTTCCATAAACTTGAGAAATAGTTGGTCGTAATGCGAGCATTTAAAATACTTGTGTACCTTGTGATGATGCCGGGCAGTAAACATTTGATTGCAACATTTGTGACGTTATCGTACCCCGGTGTCTTCTTGTTTTTCAACCTTTTAATAGCATTTAATATTTCGTTTGGGCATGTGAGTTCAAGATCGTTGGCGTTGTCATGTGAGTGCAACCAGTCCTTAGCTCAGTACCTGGTGTCTGTGACTGAGCTGAGCAGGAGAAAAAGAGAGTACATAGTGAAAGTCACATGACAGAAAGTTAATTTCTTATTGGTCCTTGCCTTTGCAGGGAGATAAGCTTTGAAACACATTTTGCGCTAAAGTAATTATAATTTGTAAATTAGAAGCTTTTATTTTACTAGTTATAGCACTTTCTTTTCCCCTTTTAACGTTAAAAATTTTAAGATTAGCTTAATTTCGGATATTTCTAACGCTATAAATCTAATTCACATGAGAAGCACACTTTGAAATCACGTGTCATCTGAGGTCCAATGGGAATTTGGTTGATTGGAATTTTGGGAGTCTAATTTCTCAGCGAGCATGATAAGCTCCACGTTTTTTTAGTAAGTATATACATTATTTACAGTACACAGTTCATCGGCTTTGCCAAGGTAGTTCAATAATAACAAAGTTCGTTATATTGGCACAATTTAACACTAAACACAATTTTCATGAGATTAGAGAGGATCAGGTATCAATTATAATTTTGAGATTTACATATTTTTTTATCTTATATATATATTCCACCAGTTTTCTTTTGTATCATCAACATATGGAGTGTTTCAATCGAAACTATTCATTTATTAAATTATCGAACAAGAAAGAAGATAAGTGTTTCATAACAGCGATAGGGTTAAGAAAACTTAAATCATCTTTAAACTTGTAGATCTTTTTTAGCACTGACAGCTTGAAAGCTGACATTGGATTTTTTTAGATCAAGTTTACCATTTTCTCTCCAGAATGTTGTCTTGTAATACAGAATGACTTTCATTAGAGAGCCCATCGGCGTCCTTTGCATCAATTGATTACGGAGAGGAGGAAGTGAAGGCTTGAAGTGAATCTTCATTTGCAGCATTGGGGGACATGCCAGAATAACGTAATGAGCCTAGCAAATAAATTCATGTATGTGTAGGCATGCCAACACACAAATACACACTAGTAACAAAAAACATAAAAATGATGTAAAATATGCATTAAATTCCTAATTTGCAGTTGCAGAAAAATTTAAACCGTATGCTTTCAAATTATTGTTACCATTCCAAAAAATGTCGCTAGTAAAACTTAGGACAAATTTTAAAATTTGTGAAGGATTTGATGCTGCTCCAACCAGAGTACAAAATTGTGCGCCGAACCAACTTTTCTCTTGTAATTCATTAAATGGGGTTGCCAAAACTCTTTTGATAATGTAATTTACTTTAGTTTCTTAGCTTCCTGATGTAATGGGGTGTCTCACCTGCCGAAGAACTGCCGTGCATCGCTGTTTTCACGCTCCTCAATATTCGCAATTTTCGCGTAAGTCCTCATAATTAGGTTGAGTAAATCATACCATACTATTGAGGAAGCCAAGACGTGCGTTTTGATATATGGATTAAGCCTGTATCATCCATACGTAAAAAGTTATTAATTAATTTCTAGTTTACTCGTGGGAGCCCATTGTGTCCGCCATTGTTCATGCAAGGGAAGAACAACATGGCACTTTAGTCCATCATTTACTCTCAAGATTTATATCACCGGACGCGCAATCGTGTCAGGTTTTCCTTGGAACTATTTTCGTAGTGATCAGATTATTATTACGTTAATTACGTAAGATTATTTAGCTAGCACGTGGTGTGATGAGTCATCTGTGAAATTGCAGGAAAAAGTACGGTTTCATCCCTGAACGTATTGCTAACTATGACAAAGAGCTCCAAAGAGATAAGAAAAGCTGTTGATAACAAAAGGTACTAGTGGTTTCTTCATCAGGCAGTTTCTCCAGTTTTTACAGCCCTTTTTTCATGAAAAAAAGATGACAACAATCAGCGGAAAATGACGATTAAGGATTTCTAAATTAAAAGATTCTCCGTCAAATAGTTCAGAAAATATAAAATTTGGCTTATTTTCTCCTTTCTACCCTGGAGGAAATCCCACCGCAGCAATCCCCACAAGGAAGGAATCTACAACGTTCCCCTTCCCCCCCAGGACCCTTACGAACAAAGAGCCTCTCCCACTACGTTTGCGGTTTTTACGACAGTGGATATTCCTCAATTGTGCAGTCACTCTTTATTCAATTAGAAAACGGAAACAGGACAGAGAAATTCCCTCTCAAGTCTTCCAGAGTACTTTAAAAGTGAACTTTGCATCTCTATCGGTCATCTACTTCAATTTTAGTGCTTTTGGTGAAATTTTGATTTTAGTAACAGCTTGTACAGACTCTATATTGTGTGATAAGATTAGTGTTTTCATTGTTTTCGCACTCTTTTCTTAACAAGAATTGAGAATTTTCTCTCTCTGGAGATTGTCTAACTTACGGAAGAAGTACTGCTACCCAAGGTAGGACTTTTTACTCTTTCGTCCCCGCTTCTCATTCTCCTTGCTTCTGTAATTGATTAATTATACCACACGCATTGCATAGTTTAATAACAAACAGAGTTAATTGCTTAGTGTTTAAAGAGATGAATTAAGGTGCCTAATATTCCTTATTTTCTTAAGTGCTGAATAACGCAGTTGACTTAATATATATTCGGCCTAACATTTTTCATTTCATTTTACCAATGTTTTTAATAAGTTACATTCTTATATTAGTTACTTTTTTCATTTATTGCACTGAATAGAATCTATTTGTTCTTAACATTCTATTATTATGTTTTGTACTTGTTTTTTTTGTTATATATTTTATATTTAACTCATCTAATCTGATTAGTAATTAATACTGGTATTATTCATCGTAAAAAAAAAAAAAAAAAAAAAAAAAATTGGCTCTCTACGTATAGAAAGCATTTCCATTCAATTATCTCTGTACTACGACATTTCTCAGGAGTGTGTGCAACTTATCACAGTATAACTGTTCACAATTTATAATAGTAATTCCCTCATAGTCAGCTTCCAGCATGGCTCAAACTACACGTCCTTCGAGCCCAGTGTCCGTCAACTCGGAAAGTATGCTTTTACCACCGGAAAAAACAGCAACAGTACGCCAAGAACCGCATATAAGAGCCGTAAATCTTTATCATGCATGTCTAGATCTAGCCAGTACTAGACGAGGCGGAAAACGCATCATCCCACCAGGAATGTTCACAAAGCTTAAAAAGATGCTCGATGAGCTCAGAGATATTGCTACAAGTAATGGGATCAGTAACGTAAGCGACGTTCCGTTTCCGATAGGTATTCCGCATCCCTCCCACGCCGTCACATGTCAGTGCGATGATTCCACCACAGACTTAATTAATACAGAAACAATGCCGTCATTATTAGAGGATAATAATGTTCCTAAAATTTCATATGCTGATGCTGTAGCAAAGGTACCAAGAAAAAATAACCCAACTATTTTGCTATACCCAAAGCAAGAGCTAAAATGCCATATTACAGAGAAACTAAATCAGATCCTTCCCCTCAAAGAAATAAATGCCAATATTGATTATATAGCAAATATTAAGAATGGAGGCATCGCGATCAGCAGCACTTCAAAGGAAGAACTCAACAAGATTACTAACGCCATAAACGTTTCCGAAGAAGCAAATAACTTAATAGAAATAAAAACACCAAGGGTTAAAAAACCGAAAATCTCAATCAATAATATCCCGAATACATTACCACCAAAATTAGTTCTCGAAGAACTAGTTGACCAACTAAGGATTGATAAAGAGGAGATTTCACCTCTCTTTTACACAAAAGGCAAAAACCCCAACACCATTAAGTGGGTTCTCGAATGCTCCCCTCGTACTCTATCAAAATGTATTGAACGTAGGAAAATTATAATTAATTGGAGCATTCTCCCAATCGCAGAATTCTACGGAGTGAGGAGATGCTACAGATGCCAAGATTTCTCACATTCTGGTAGTGCATGCAAATTTAGGACTTATTGCGCTTTCTGTGGCGGACCTCACTCCATAAGGAATTGCAAAGAAGACGTACCGGATTGTATCAACTGTAAACTGTTCAACTGCACATATGGAACCTACATCAATACTTCACATGCTGCATTCTCCCCCAAATGCCCATTATATCAGAGGGAAATCTCAAAAATTAAAGCTGCTGCAGTTTACACATCAAAGCAAGAAGAATAGTTAGCTTACTACCTAGTTTCTTTTAAGTTAATTTAAACTTCCCTTTCTGTACATGAATCCATCAAGTACTACCGCCGCCCTTTCAATTCCCCAATCTCAACTGTTTACGACAATTTTACACAATAATTCGCCTCCACAGGACAAGCTTAGAATCCTTCAAATAAACTTAGGCAGAGGAAAAAAGGCGTCAGAACAACTTAGTGAAGTAATTGAAAATAACAATCATGATGTAATTTGCATTACTGAGCCGTATTGCGTAAAAGGTGAAGTTAGATGCCTTCCCCTTCACTGGCAAATATTTCAATCTACTGAAAAGGATCCTCTAGTTAACCCACGTGCCAGTATTATAGTCACCAATACCAAATGGTCCCCTACAATTATATTAAGCCATAGAGATGTGATGACGATAAGTATTAACTGTAAATCAGAACAGCTATTAATTACTTCCATTTACTGCTCACCACGAGAGGATATGGGGCCGAATCTCCACACATTAGAAAATATCTTTAGTAATCTCAGAAGATCACAGCACGTGATTACAGGTGACTTCAATGCTCACCATCAAATGTGGCATTACAATAATACAGATAATAGAGGACATACACTAGCTGACTTTATTGCTACACACAATCTGTATATACATAACCTCTCTTCAGACACTCCTACATTTGAAACAACAAATGGTAAAGGATGGCCGGACTTGACACTGTCAACATTGAGTATCTCCAATAAAATACAAGAATGGAAAGTTCTTGATGATCCAAGCCACTCAGATCATAACTACATCTCATTTGAATTATCAGAAGAAATCCCCGACCTCAAATTAAGAAGATTTTCAATCTCAAAGCAAAAAGCAAGGCAATTTGGAAGAAAAATCTCCACATGTCTTCAGTATGCGGAGAAACTTATAGATAAATGCACATCACCCGATGCAGTCCATGATTTAATGGAAACAATTATCAAAACAATACAGGAGACAGCGACCAACACATTTAAACTCCGTAACAACAACAAGATTACGAAGACTAACTGGTGGACAAAGGAATTAAGACGTGAAAAGCAACATACAAGGGCCCTTCGTAGAAAAATGAAAAGTGCTCCGGAAGGGTTGAAAATGGAAATATGGATAAAATACAAGCAACAATTAGCAAATTACAAAAAGAAAATAACTGAAGCAAAATTACGCAGCTGGAAGAATTACTGCTGTAGTAATAAAGATACACATACGGCCAGCTGTATAAAATGGCTACAAGTAAAGTTTTTAGTCCCGCACATATCGGTCTTTCGAGAGATCAACTCTCACGTAACAGCCAGCTTGGTAATGTCACTGAAAAGATTCTCAACAATATTCTAGATGTTGTCTTCCTAAAAGATAATGCAGAAGACGATGGCCACTCACATTCCGATATTAGATACAATAATACCGCTCCAAATACTCCAGACGATGTGGAATTCCACTCACAAGAAATTTCAAAAATTATTAAGTATCTTCCGAATAATAAAGCTCCGGGACCTGACGGATTAGACAACAGGATTATTAAGATAATTCACCACGCAATGCCTTTTCTGTTCCACAAACTACTAAACCTCTGCCTCAAATTTTATGTCTTCCCGAATTGTCTCAAACAGGGACAAACAATACTATTCAAGAAAAATAATAAAGATCCTACGGATCCGGAAGCCTTCAGACCAATCAACCTCTTACCTGCAATAGGTAAACTTCTGGAACGTGCAATCGCGGGCAGATTACGCCACCACTTAGAGAAAAACGAAACCATAAGCCCCAACCAATACGGCTTCAGACCTCTCAAATCTACATCACATGCGATAGTAGAACTTCAAG